AGCCTTGTTAAGTCTTCGTTGAGCAATGCTTCTGCTATTTTAAAATCTTTGAAATTATGGACATATTGATGAAAATCCGATATATATAGAGAGAAAAGTAAAGGTCCCAATATGGAACCTTGAGGAACACCAAACCTTATAGCAGTTGGCTGTGACATTTTCGAAGCTGTTAGGACCTTTTGATTTCTATTTGACAAATAGCAGCTTATCAAATTACTGCAGCGTCAGTAAAACCATAGTAAGACAGCTTAAGTAGCAGAATTTCAGGGTCTATCATTTCGAAAGCTTTTGTGTAATCCGGCAGAACTAAACAAGTGATATTTCCTTGCTAAAGGCCTCTTATAATATCATCAGTGACATTGGCAGAGCAGTTGTACTATGGTTTTCCCTGAATACAGACTGCATTGATGGAACTATTTCATTACTGGAAATATATTGAGATATATGTATCTTCATTTCCCGTTCCAAAAGCTTCGAAAATGCGGGAAGTAAGCTGACTGGTCTGAGTTGCGTTACAGACGTGGAAATCGCTACTTTAGGAATAGGTATGACTATAGCCTGCTTCCAAGCATCAGGGAAACAGGATGTTGATATTGCGTGATTGATGATAAATCTAGTATGGTCTAAGAGCAAAGTGAAAATGTATTTTATCTTAATGAGTGAGATTTCATCAGCCTCTACAGCATTAGTTTTAATAAATGGAACAGATTCTTTGGCAACCTTTTGTAATGACTTGGGAAACTTATTGCTTTGATATTTGTTCAGTAGTTCTAATTGCTTTTGTGTCTTGGTTATGATCGGAATATTTGAGAAATGTGAATCTATTTTATCTGCGTCATTGAAGCTACCTGGAAGAGTATTTGTAGAGGACTTAATTATATTAAGTTTCCTAATTGTTTCCATATTGCTTTACTGTTCCTCCCAGATACTCCACATAAGCCTTTTTCTCTCTCCGAAGAGTAGCAGCAGCGTAATTACGGAGTTCTTTACAATAGTTCCAGTCGGCAGTTGACTTACTTCCTTTAAACCTTAGATAATCTGTATCTATGGCTTTATTGATCATTTTAATATTGTATGTTAGCCATGGAGCTGGTGGCTTAGTAACTCTAAGTGTTCTCATAGGTGCACAATTATCAAATAAATTTAGTATGTTGCTATTTAAAAACATACCATGTCATTAATCATTAACGCTGTTTAATTGTTCAATATCATCTCATTGAGAATAAAATAAATCATAAAAGGTACGTTCATTAAAGTTACGAAAGTCCCTAAACATGTAAAGCTTCTGCGTCCGGTTGCTTAAAACTTTATTGAGGTGACAAACAACAGCTGAATGATCAGATAACTCATGAACTGTTACAACATTGCAGCTTCTTACATTTTCTCCATCTGAGCAGATAATAACATCTATCAATGTTTGTGAGTGGCTAGTAACCCTCGTGAGTGCATCTACTACCTGCGTCACATGAAGGATTCTTAAAAATTTAGCATAATATCCGTAGCCGATGAATTAATCAATAAATTTATATTAACCGTTTCTCACAAAAACTTTTAACATAACCTCTAAATTGATAAAAACTTCCATACATTATAACTGGACACTTTCCAGGTTACTGATTCCGGGTCTTTGGATATATTGTAGAATAAAAATAGATGAACGAGTGAGCGGAATCCGTATTACAATGGAACATCAGTACTCAAAAGGTACCCCACTAATGATTGTGGCGTTTTTCACCGAAGAATATAACTTCCTAATTCCTAAACATATTTAGGCGCATCAATTGCTTCTAAACCAGTTATGATTTTTTATTATGTCCCAAAGGAAGACGAACCTTTAAGGGTGGCAAGCATCGTTGTCTAATTTTCTGAAGAAAACTCAAATCTGCGAAAAGTTTTTCAGTCAGGACTCATAGCGAACAGAAGTCCAAAAATATGCAAGGTTAGGGAAGCCTGATGAAATTCTAACTAAATTGCATTACGTTTCTCCTTCGGAAAAAAAGCGTTTCCGTATAAACCATGCTTATCTGCTAAAGTAGATTCAGTGGCCTCTTGACAGTGGACTGCAGTAAAGAAAGAACTGGCATTAACATTCAGAGCCAGGGTTGAGCCGGATAACTTTCATCACAAGGTCGATCTTTTAAACCGAAACTGAAAGGAGTTTGCTGGGAACTTCATCGCCAAGAGAACAGAGGAAATGGGCTCTAAATGAGTTTACTCGTCGTTTCCCTTGCGACATTCTTTTGGGATTATTATAAACAATTATCTGGGAAAGCTCTTTATGAACCTTTGGTTCTACCTTATAATTTAAAAGTAATAATCGACCTCCATGTCATATCTATATACAAAGCGTACTATAAGAATATTGCAATATGACTTAACAAACGAATGCAGGAGGCTGCCTGTTACTGCATCTTGAGATATGTCCATGAGTGCACAGTAGCCACCAGCATTGACAGTGAAAAGGTGCGGACTATGGCAATCGTGGTCACGTACTGTCATAAGGGCAGTTCCACGGGATGGAAACCGCAAGGGGCACTGGACGCCGCCGTAGACAACGGACCGTGAAGATCGCCGCCTAAGATTATTGGCCTTGGTTTGCAGAACACGGAAGACCTATTGGCATGCGAAGTGTTTACCGACGAATGAGAAGTTTTGGCTTGCTTA